CTACTACCTCTCCTTCCCTTTGATCTAATAAGTAGTTGAGGTAGTCCCTTCCTCTACGCCTCTCCTCCTTAGTACCACATATGAAGGCCGTATACCCGATGTACCTACACAACACACACTGACATCATCACTACACTAGTCACGAGGGTGATCACCCAATCACGCAAAACACTACCAATTTTCACTACCATTCATCCATTTAAATTTCCTCCAACAAATATAAAGACATGACATTATGCAGTACTCATTCATCTTATGCAAAAATGAACATTCAAAAATTCAACACTCACTGCCAGATGAAGCGACGATTCGCAATATACTCTCGATGAACAGAACCACCGGAGATGTCAACACATACAATTCCACCACTACCCAACACTACTCCATAATAGCACCACTAGCTTTCTCCAGTTTCCGTCTAGTAGTACCCCTCCTGCCCAATGCATAGGTGAATTGCCCTTCGGTCCTGATAGGCAGCTTATTATTGCTACAACCACACACCCACACACTACATCTTCACTGTGGTAAGTCCCAACTTGGGATCATGCTTATCACCCAGATTCCATCTATCATCGTGGTCCAGGAAGAATCCTGGGGACTTGGTCTCGATCGCAGACATCAACTGAACGGGACCACATTCATCTACAGCTTGTCGCTGTAATATTCAAGTTCTTGAAAGTTTATCTCGATGGTTTTCTTTCAATATTTTACCAGGTGCCTCGAATAAAGTGATCTCGACTATTTTCATAACATATCGAAGACACCGTGATCACATCCATATGCGTATCAGATACCACCGTTTCATTGCATGGTTCAAATCGAATAGATACTCTCCGCGTTCTCCTCTCAATTTCCCACTCATCATAACAGCACCAGTTACCGACCACATCCAATACTCTAGTCATACTACTACAACCAGGGATTGACAACACGTCATCCCTGCCTCAGTTACACTATGTATGCCACTTCGCCCGTACATTTAGGTTGAGTGAAGCAAGCAACATTCATCACCCATCAGCGTCACCAACGTGTAACCACTAGTTCTAATCCACTT